CCCAATATTTTACGCACAACACAAGCTGGTGTGGCGTTCTCCTAAACTGTAAACATACGAGTATGATTAATATAATACCGATTAATGTTATAATTAACTTAACGATATTTTAATAAAATTCAATATCACAATTCACAATTGCAAATGATATTSTCGCATTATTAAGGAATTTACACTTATAAAATTAAMAAAATTTATATTCATAGACAAAACAATTCTCGTTGATTTAATATTTTTCTTTGGAAACGTATTCCCATAATATAATAGGTACCAGTGAGATACGTTGTATTACATTACACTCACTCAGTCATGTTCACGACTGCAGTTCTTTGTTACAATAATAATATCCATATTAGCAAGAGAAAAAATGATTCCACACACAATGGATAAAATTGAATAGAAAAAAAGAATATTACAAAAAAAAAAAACTAAGCGCAATCTATTTCTCGATTCTTAATATGGGAAATAAAGTATATAAATTTACTAGATTATACATTTATACTATGTGAGTCAGGTTAWATTGACAGGTTAATTCATGACAAAATATGCAGGTATTTTTTAAAATTATTTGTTTTCGTGTTACGTGTGTAAATACATATTTTATTGTGCTTATAGGAGATGCTTATCAGGGGTGGAGAGGTAAAATGTAAAAACATTTTATCTTCCCCAAAAATATGACCATTGACCAAACTACGCCACTGTTCCCGTATGATAATAACAATCTTACTATCATATCCATTCTATAATATGTATCTATGGTTTATATTTTAGTCGTAAATTCCCGTGATACTTTATATAGGTATAATTGCGATCTATTAATATATAATATACAAATATATACACAAGCGTATCATAATATTATAAAATTTTATCACAATGTTCTAAAAATAATGTTTTGCATATGAAATATTCATAAAAATAATAATGGTTTCRTTACTMCAGGACCTGCAGCTAATATGGCTCGTTGAAACTGAATACTATGAAATCCAATAACTAAAACAATTAAAATCAGGAGCACGGTATTTAAGAATTAACTAACAGCGTCCTAATTATTGCAATTTATACGGCTACGCGACAATAACAACGAGATTAACGTTATATTATTTTTTTACGAGACTCCTCGTGTTTATGAATATTATTTTTCGACGAAACGAGTTCGATAAAAATTAATGATAAAACAGCTCCGAACGTTTCAAGAA